GAATGGGTCCTAGTATCTTCTCTTGTAATATCTTTTCTTTTCTTGTTGGCTAATGGGCCTGTTTTGTTTAATCTCTTTATGTTACTGCCTAGCTGGCCGCCCACTTAAGGGCATACTTGTCATTACTCTAACATTAATTCTTAATAAAAAAAAGGATTAGAGGAGAAAGGGAAGATAATTCGAATCTTTTTCTTCTTCTTTCTCTTTTCGCCATCTTCTTCTCTTGTACTGCTGCTCTTACTTCTCTTCTTTTTTTTTTCTCTCTAATCTTCAAATTTACACCTAATATTGAGGACTGATTTACATCTTTGTCAAAGGGAGTAGTCTTTGTTCCAATAACTTTTCTTTTTAGCCTTTCATGATGATTGCTTCAAGTTGTCTTTCGTAACTTGTAAGTCATCGTCTTTGGCCAATTTAGTTTCATTGATTGGTAAATGCAATTCTTGCATCAGGCTTATTTTTCATGGACGCTATAAGTCCCTAGCGTCTGCATATAGTTTCTTGTTTCTTGTTTGGGGAAGGGGGAGGATGTTCATATATGTGTGGATTGTATTTGTCAAAATAACCCACTGATTCATCATATTTTTTATGAACAGAAGGGAGAATCTCGAACCTCTGGAAGGGAGTCTACATCTGGAAATGACAATGATATTGCTGAAGCTCTAATGCTAAATCATGAGATATTTTTAAGTACACTCAGATCTCGCCTGACCAAATTGCAGGTATCATCTCTTTCCTGCAAAAATGCTTCTGGGATATGACTTCCATGGAATGGATGGTATTAGTTTATTATCTGTCCCTGCATCCTTGTTCTTACTTGTAGTGATTGGTATGTAAGTTGAATGTGGATATGCATGTCAGGGATGTTGCACAAAATTTCTGATGTAGGCAAAGCTCCAGTGTGTGGAGTGTCTTTAGAGAGCAGTAATGTATGAAAACTGCCTTTAAATGGCCCTGCTCAACATTTTGTTTGATAATAGATCTCCTTATATTTGGCTGCAACTGCCTCTACATACATTGTGCTTCACTTCTGTACCACATGTCAAGAGGAAGAAAACCTATTACGTTCTTCACTCTACAACTTGGGGTCCAAGTGTCCAAAAATGAGCATGAATGACCTTATATTTTGACACATCAAGACATTTATATAATATATTGCTCAAGCTATATTTATGCACAGATAACCTTAAACATGGTGCTGAAATTCTGTCTCTCATTAGAATATGCAGTTAGTCAAGCATATTGGTTTTTGGTGAGACTCCCTCATTTTTCAATATTTTTAATGTTTCCATCATATGCGTTATAAAAATATATTTTTAGCAATATTTCTGCTTAAATGTGTTGTTGCCTTGTTAGGGTCTTGGGGGCACTTATTCTGACCCAAATTTGCAGGTTGTACGGCATTTTTGGGAAAGGAAGGACATTAAGGGTGCCATAAATGCAATGAGGAAGTTGCCTGATCATTCTGTAAGTGTTCATTTGAGGCACTTGGTTGTTGTTTCTTTCTAGTTTGACAGCCCAAGTGGAAACTAGTGGTTTTATTTGACTACCTCTTCTCTGTTGCAAATGTTAATTCGTGATCATCTGGTCCATGGTATAGGTGCAAGCTGATGTTACAAGTGCTCTCATGGAAAAAATGGAGAGTGTTACATTGGATCTCTTCTCTTGTTTGTTACCTGTGCTTACAAGCTTACTGGATAGCATGACAGATAGGTAAACATGAATAAATTCATTATGAGAACTCTTGGCCTTGAACTTTGGAAGACTTGTAAAGTTGTGATCTTAGACATATGAAGAGAAGTGTTGAATAAAATGCAATAGGCTGTTTGTCAAGACTGCAGAGGAAAGAAGAAAGAAAATATCTTTAAAAATGGACTTAGTTTGAAATGTCCACAGGTTTTATGATAAACCCAGTGTTGCTTATCTCTTGTATATAAGGAATCGGCTACTAGAGGAAGAAAAGAATGTGGAGTGTGGTAAAGGAAATATCTGAATAGGAAATTTCATTGTCTAGTATTTTAACCCATGAGCTCAAAGGTTGTAGTGCAGAGCTCCAAAGAACGTGACTAATGGTTCTTCTACAAACAGAGTAAAAAGTAGCTGTACATCCAAAAAGGACAAAATAATTATGCATATAGTTTTTATTCTTAATTTCTTATATTTTGTTTATTTACTTTTGTTAGTAAAGACGCATGTGCAAGCTTGCATATTACAAATTGAGAGGGGCTATAATTTGAAAACAACAAAAAGTTACACCTTTAAATTTATAGGCGCCTCTACATTTTTTGTTTGAACATACAATAACAAAGACACATTCATACAGACACACACCTTACAAAAACTAAAAATAAACAACTAAATTTAATTTGTCACACAATCTCAGACTTGTATGAGTTCTGAACTATTGAAGTGGCATCTTCTCATTGTTATTTTGGTAACATCACTAGATCTCTTTTTGGCATTAATATGCTTTTTGTGCCTTTCTAGTTAATTTTATAGCATGATCCCACTGCCTATTCCTCTGGGACTTAAACTAGCAAATTTCATGAGAGGGTTGTGCTGACATTATTTCATAAATGAACAGGCATACAAGTGTCTCATTGGAAATGCTGCTTAAGCTTGTCACCGTATTTGGGCCAGTAATCCGCTCAACCCTGTCAGCCTCTCCATCTGTTGGGGTTGATATTCAAGCAGAGCACAGGTGCCTTTCTTTATTTTTTCTCCCTCACTGACCTTCTTTTGCCCCCTTTCTGGTTTTCTACTGGTTTGGTTTCCATTTCCTATATCTGAATCTGAACAAATGGGAACAGACGGGAATGTTGCAAGCAGTGCTTTTTGCAGTTGCAGAAGATCAAGCAAGTTCTTCCTACAGTGACTAGGTAAGCGTACTTTTCTTTAAGTGTTAACTTTGTAAAGGTGTGAATTTAATTGAAGAAATGCCTGCATAAATGTTGCATTGGTTGGTGGAACAACTTGCTACTTGTTGGATAAGCTGGAAGGGCAGAAAGGCTTTGGCCTTGAGCTGATCTTTCAAAAATGATCAAATTTCAAGTTTGTTTTGTAACAAGTACATTTTTAGAATTTTGCAAATGTGGTACTGATATTAAAATTTATCTTGAATCCTTTATCAAGATCCTAAGGTTTACTTAATGTTGATCCTAGCTATCCAGGGTTTTGGGACTTGGGAGGGGTAGAATGAGCATGGTCCTAACCTTTGGCCTTTTTCTTTGGCACAAAGTGGCTACCCGCAGACTTGAACTTGCATTCTCAATCTTGCCAGCTCCTACTGGGTTTTAATTGTTTTTGGGTCTGAGATAGCGATTGGATGATTTATTTCTTTACCAGCTTTTATGTTTTTTTTTTTATTGGTTTAGATTCCATTGGTTGTAATATTACAGGGAGACAACTTTACTTGTTTGATGCCTGGACCCTGGATTTTTTTGTTTTTTATTACAACTTCTAATATTTTTTAAATTAATATACCACCATTTTTGTTACTTTATTTTCATTGTTCCTATTTATGCCCTTGTCTTTTTGTGCTTATTATGAATTAATATTTATAGTGGCACACCTTCGTGCATCACTATGGCATGTAAAGCTTCTTAAAGTCGTACTCAAGGTTTAAAATTTCTATGTTGGTGAAAATCTTAGTCATTGAAATGTAAGAAGTATGTCAGAAATGCCGTATTGAAGAACTATAAAATATATAGACATGTTGAAATCATTGTGAAATATGCAAAAATATACAATGATATCTTATGAAATGATAAAAGAAGCATAAATACACCCCTTTAGATTATTATGTTGTTCCAAACAAACAAAACAAAGAAAAACTATGGTTGTTAGACCTTCTAACAAAAAAAATTGTGGTTTTTAGACAAAATAATACACTACAAGGCCGTCCTATGCACTTTTAAGAGTTAAAATTACATGATAAAGTTAGCTGAAGCAAAATTCATACTCAAAATCTGCAGACAATTCTAATATATCAACAAAATAATCTATTTCACAAACAAAAACTAAGATTTAACATCACATAAAAAAAACCAATATGACTCAAAGTGGTCATCATTTCCCTTGGGTGTGTGATAATACCATTGCTCTGCATATCTACAATACTGTTACCAATTCCTCATGTCACAACACCACCTTCTATACTCAACATCATGCTAGTAGTTTCCACTGAGGAATATGTTGATTCCAGTAATATATTATTATTCAGTACCATGGAATTGGAAATATTAGGAAATATGTCAAAATTTTAAACCCTGATCGTCACAGTTAGGTGCATGTTTCCATGTTTTATCATCGTATTATGTCAAATGGATTTTCTTTGTCTGTGATATTAGCAGTAGTACTTCATAATGCATAAAGGGAACAAAATATTTTCTACATCATCTAATCTTTGGGTGTTTCAGTTATGATAAACTATCAGCAAGCAGCTCATTGGGGTAGGTCTGGGGTTTTAATAATAAATAATAAAGTTTTGAAGCAAGTTGTCTGCATGTTACTTCTAGTTTCCTAAATGCTTGATGACATTTGGTTTTATATCTTATTGATTGAATGGCCTGTTTAAATATGTTCCAAGATTACCTAGCTACAAAATAAAATTGAATGCAGAAGCTTAACATTTCCATGTTCTGCTTTTGGTTTAGGAGGGGAGGGTTGATTGCCAAGTGTGCTGAAGAATTGCATCTAGTTCTTCAAGAACTGTAACTTCATCTTGCTATGCCAACTGATTCGAACATGCGGACTGATAAGATTGTTCATCTTAAATCATTTAACAGGATAAACATAAAAGTCACTCTTTTCCACCCACAGGTATTAGTTCTTGTGAATGCTATATTTCTTGGTGTTTGTCCGGGAGTTCTGAAATTTTGACATTCTGTTTTCAAATCTCTTCTACTGCCTCCTGTTGTTTCTGGTAACCAAGCAATACAGCTCAAGAGGTGAAGCTCGAATCATTGCCAGTTTCACTCACTGTTGCGCTCAATGTTTCATCATGCGGTGATTCCCAAAAATTTTGATTGCCTGACCGTGAGATGCAACTCCTGCTATTATTCCACTAGGGTTGATGACATGTATCGCGGGCATTATTTGTATGTAATTGCGTATGAGTTTTGTATGTTATTCAAAATAGTAAGTTTTGTTAGTCACAGTTGTAATCTTCAATTGAAATTACATATTCAATTTTTTGAACCGCCTCTCTTTTCATGGTTTTTCCTTTTCCTTTTCTTTTTTTTTCCCTAATTTATCAATTGTACGGTTTTGATTTTGGATTTAAAATCCCCTTTCTTTTTGCTCTGCTTCACTTGGTAGGATCCAACCTTTAGGTTAATTTTAGGACCTCTATCAGGTCTTTGACTCTGGAAAAATTAACGAACTACATATTTATTTGAATGGTCAATAGGAGAGAAATAAATCCGACTTGCAAGGAGTAGATAGTAATGTTAGACAGTTTATGTATGTCCTTAGTTTCAATCTGATTTGATGTACTTTAGTGGAAATAAATAAAGTGCATGTTAGATTCATGTTGTTTGGTTTAATTCTGTGCAAAACCCTCAAATTAGATATTTATAGAGATTCATGTTAATTTTAAATGTTCACAGCCGTTGGATAAGTCTGGGGAGATTTATTCTGCCAAGGCATCATGCTGGTGTGCCACCAAGTGTTGGGATGGCCTGTCTCAGCCACTAGGGTAAGACCCGAGGCACATGCAGTATGAGATTACTTGAATTCTTGAACCGGACTAGATTTCCAGTTTTGTCCTGGGCCTTGGAGATAGATGGACAAAACTGAAAAGTTACACCTGACCCTTAGACTCGATTATGACACTTCACTAGGTGTCGGATCTGGCTGTCTTTGATATACCAATCAGTGAGATCCTTAGCGGGGATCAAAACCTGGGTATGTTGGGGCAGTTTGAGAATTCATATGAGTGGGTGGTCATAGTGACAGAATCAGCCACTTTGTCGGACAAAGGGTAATGATCGGGAATGCACTCTCTCTGATGGAAACCAAATTGTCAGCAGTTGATTTCAAT